GTGCACCTCAGCGACATTGACGCAAGACACCGGATCGATAAATAGGTTGCGTAATAAACGCGGTCGGAAATCGCGTGGCGCGTTAGTGGTACGATTGTAATTGCGCACCTGTGCGAGCGGTTCACAGTTCATTTCACAAAGGAAACTGGCGCGTGGTGGAGTCACGATTACGGAATCACGGCCTCTCTCATCTCGGCCCGGTTTTCACCACCGCTCGGCTGACCAGTCAATAAAATATCAAGCTATATTTCAAACCGCCGCTTAAACGGGCCACCGCCGCTTCCGACAGCCTATTGAAAGGATTGAATTTCTTAGAGGCGTAGCAGCACATGTGGGAAGGTCTTATTAAGTTACCACGGTGTAACGCGATAAATCACGGCCAAATGCTTTTGTACCGATTACCAAGTGTGCGAGGACAGGTGTAAATGAAAATTCTTTCCATAAGTATTCATTATATAACAGTTGTGAACAGGATCGGATCGGAACTTTTGCGTTTATCGATGAATAAGTAATCTTTGGAAAAATCTTACATCCGCACTGGTAACAAGCGTATCCCGAGAGCGCCTATCGGTAATCAATACCTCCGATATCTGTTCTTCCCCTGTGTATACGGGGCCGTCTCAGGGGCGTTAATTGCGCGAATCATCAAAATTTCAGGGAAGAAAGGAAGAAGAAACGCGTATTGTAAGAAACTCGATCGAGAATATTTATGCGTGGAGCTCTGGCTAGGGCCACGCATCTCGTACGGGGAGGCGAGGAGAAATTCTCGTAGGAGAACGTGGGAGACGCATAAATTGACGCGTCCCTCTAATTTTCCTCATGAATATTCCTTCGTTATATCAATTAAAATCGCCGTGACGCCTGAATATTTATCACGGCCACATAAATTTATTAGAAACTGCATAATCGTAAGTCTGGAAAAACGGCGATCGGCCTCGCCCACCCCTGTTTCTTACTGTGAAAAAATTCTTCATTTCTTTCATTTCTTTTTTTTTAAGTGACCTGACCTCGCGACACGTGGATCGAATATCGAGTCGAGCTGAAGATCGGGGAAATATCCATATTTTGAGGAGCGAGTTTGTTGGAAAATTGTTGCTACGATGGCATTTGACGAATTGTTCTAAAAAAAAAAAAGGAATATTTTCACAACGGAAATAGGAACTCTTTCGCAACACGTGTCCGGAAACAAGAAAAAAAATTTTATTCACTTACGTATATACCAACACGTTTGGTAAGTTCTCAATTAGCTCCAATTAGTCTCGTTTCAGAATCATTCCACGTTCTCATTCTCGTTCTTCCACACAACCCCGGAGGAATCCGAATTTCACGCAAGAAATCTCGAGGGGAGCGCCGAAAAATCTCTCGCAAATCGGTATAAATCGAAACCAATCTCAACGCTCGAGCGAACAGTCGAAGGAACAGCAGCGCGCCTCTCCACTTATTGCAAAACAGCCAGGCGGCCGCGTGGAGGAATTGAAAAATAACTGACTAATCTCGAATCTGACGAGAGAGGCGAGATTACGGCCTCTCTACGAAAGTAACGTTGTATACGTGCGAGAAGCGTAACTCCATCGGCATCTCTCCCACCAGCGAGCGACACCTAACTCAACCTCGACTAATTGCGCAACCTGCACTACCTGTCACAGCTAATCTTTTTTTTTTTTTCCTGTTTTTCCTTCTCTCCTCCTCTCTCTCTCTCTGTTCGAAGAAGAGTCGATATCAGGGTGTGTCGATGATGAGATTCGTGGTGGGATCAAGCTTTTTTGGAGGATCGATCGTGGTGGAGGTTAACACAATGGAGGAGAAGCGGAAAAGTTGATACGTAAAAATGTCGGTCGAGGCTTATTTATCAAGTTGCGAGCGTATCGAAGTTTGCGTTAGACGAGAGAGAGAGAGAGAGAGAGACGGTGGTGCGATAGAGATAAGCTGTATCTGTATCTCGCTTCGTCTAATGCAAACTCAAATTGATTAGAGGCGAACGTTTGTGTAAAATTAAATTTGTATGAATACGATCGAAAGAAGTGGAGATTTATTTTTCGAACGGAGAATATTTCGTACTTTTTTCACGATCGATTAAAATAATGTCGATCAAAATTTTTGTACACCGATTTTTTTTTATCCCGTTTCAGTTCAGAGATGAGAAATTTGTCGCTTGTGCCTGCGACTCGACATTTTTGCAAATTTGACAAATTTTATGTTTGTTTTCTCTTCTTCAAAAATCGAAGAACCGAGTGTCTTGTCTCTCCGTCTTCGAAGTATCACTTCGTGATATTCAATAGCGAAACTTTTGATTGGCAGGCTGCAATTTCTAATCTCGAAATTGCCAAACAGCCGCGCGAGATTCTTCGATTCTCTTCTTTCGCGAGAAAGGCTTGAAAAGGATCGACAGAAACGAATTTAATGAACAGAAAGAGGAAGATGATCCAAAGAAATCGATTTTCGTTTCATTTTTCATCACACGCGTTTAAATGAAATTACAACTGCGTTAAAAAAAAAATTTCTTTAACGATCATTTACCTACTACGTAAAAACCAATTCATGCGCGTGGTTATTAAGATTATCATCCAATGATTACACTTAATACACGTAATGCGTAAGCAAAAAAAAAAAAAAAAAAAATAATGAAACAACGCAAATATCGAAAAATATGTAGGAACGTGAGTGAATGAGCGAGAAGGGGGGGCTTTCGAACCGAGAAATTATTCGAGTCGAAATTAAACGCGAAATCAGGAGGATGATACCGCGCATTCCATGAAAAACCATGCTGCTCGTCATTATCGAGCGGTTGTGTCGTTCGAGTCTCTTTGTCATCGTTATCATTGCGCAACGAAGGCTAATACGAATACACGCATAATCTCACCGTGTCGTCCACTCCGTGTTCCCACGAATACGCGATATCCACACGTGTATGCATATATATATATATATCCGATCTATCTATCGAGAAAGCGCGCGCTGTGTGCGATTGTGGCCACGAGGGGATGACCGCGAGAGAAAAAAAAAAAAAAAAAGGAAGAAGAATAGAGAATAAAAATGGAAAAAAGAAGGAGATGAGAATGGCGGGGAGGAGGATGGCGGCGGCGGTGGTCGGTGTGGTCGTTGACGTTGACGAAGCGACGGTGTTTGACACGAACAGGTTTGACAGTGATTTTGACAGCGACACGACGGTGTCTTAACGGTGGACACGTGCGCTAGTTTAACAAACGGTTTATCGCACTCGTGGCGTTCAACACTTTGCCGGTAACGAGAGAGGCCGATCAATAAATCCGTACGTACGTTTCGTACGTACGATTGGGATTGTTATCTGGGGGGGAGGGGAGGAGTCTATGAAGATAAGATACGATTTTTAGAATTTTTAGAATCGAGATACTTGGAACGATCTTTTTCTTTTTTTTTTTTTTTCTTTTCCTTTTCTTCATTTGGAGAGAATGAATGGGAGGACGATCGATGGGACGAGGAAGGAATGGTGGAGAGATAAATTTTCTTCCATGGTAAATTGCAGGCTTAAAATTTAAGCATCGTAGAATATGCTGGGTATTATGCAAATTAAGGAAAATATTACGTTGATGCATATGAAATCGTCGTTTTATCAAATACAATTTTAAATTTAAATTTAAACGTGTAGCTTCCGTAGCGTGGCTTTCTTTTTAAATACTTTTTCGATACAACTGCTCCTCTCTCTCTCTCTCTCTCTCTCAAACGAACGTTCTAAATTAATCGATAAACTCTGATCGAAATTCCGTATTATTAAAAGTATCCAAAGTTTGCGAAACTCGAAATAACCATACGAAGAGGACACCAGAGGAAGCGACGACAGATCGATCCATCGGTGCGTGTACAATTCGAGAATTAACCGCGTTAATTCTCAAGATATCGAAAGAGTGGAAATATAATAGAACAGGCACTAAGCGACATTGAGTTATCAGGAAACGAAGCGCTTCGATATTCGTCGTGTTACATCAGAGCTCGGTCTTAATTGATAACACCGCGATGGGACGCGAATATAATACCGGTCATTGTTCCTCGATCGAGGGAAGAGGAAAAAGAAAAGAAGGAAAGGAAGAGAGAAAAGAAGAAGAAAAAAAAGAAGGGAGGAAAAATCGTTGGAAACGATCGTCGAAACGAGACGTTAATCGTGGCGACGATAATCGTCGGCATTGTACAAAGAATCGTCCGCGAATCGTTCGGAAGAAGCGACGATTCTTGATAAGATTCCACTTCAAGGATCGCGTCACCCGCGAGATAACGATTGCGATATATTACGATTTCAGATATAATATTATTTAGAAACCGCTCCTAGAAACTGCTCCACCAATTATTGCTTCGACGATTATAAAATAATGGACGGAGGGTGTCCCTCTATAAGCCTCGATCCCGAAGGAATTTTTTTTGTCACCGATTTCTATCTTCTCCCCGAATTTTGCTTCCCGGAGCAAAGCCAAGATGACTCGATGACGACCGTCTTCTCTTGCACCGCTCGTATAAATTCAGAATGAGGAAAAAGATGAGGCTCGGACTCATAGGATAAAGAAGAGTTGGCGATACCTCAAATATCTGAGATCTCTGCTCGTGGATCGTAATTACTGTTGGTTGGTACGGAAAAAAATGTCGAGAATCTTGTATATCTTGTAAATATCTTGTCGATTATATTATTTTTTTTTTTTCGCATTTGATTTCGAGCAAAAGCGATGCGGTCAAAAGTATGAAAGAATATAATTTATTGGATGAGTCTTAGGTTGTTATAGATTCGTACGTGTCTTTGGAAGATTGATCGTGAAGGGGGGAAAAAATCGAAATTTTTAAATTGATACTTTTTTGCCAACTTTTGTCTTCGCGTTCTCCCTTCTTCTCGATCCTTCAAAGATGTATCGGGCGAATATATAATTAATCCGTTACGTTGCATGAAATGATTGGACTAAACTAAAAGAGAGATTGCGAATTCACATCGATATTATGCAAATAAATGAATAAATTCGTTTTTGTAAGGTGCTCATACTCACTTTTGACCGTATGTCTGGCAGAGTTGACATACTATTCCGTTCGATTCTTTCATTTTTGACGCGTAAAGACTGCAAGAGAAAAACTTGACGTATATTATCATTTTTACACCAGTTTACAG